TAATCGAGCGGCAACATCTTATTTGGCGTACTGTGCGATGATCATCGACACCTCTGCCACCGACGTTGATGCCAGGGTTTTGACTTTTGCATTGGTTCCAGGTTGAACAAACTCAAATGGCAGAATGGGAGAATGCATTTCCTTCAAGTTAGAAACTGCCATTTTGATCGTCACTATTTATTGGCTAAGAACATCGCAAGTACTTTGCACAGACCGGGTTGACTGGTTGATGGGTGTTTGGAGTGCAGCAGATCCTTCGCGATTTACGACAGAGCACGGGGGTTGCGAGCCGACTCCTTTACATTCAGAGCATAGAACGATCTGCGAGACTCAATAATGAGGCAATTGGCAGATCTGCAGGTGGCTCTGTAGGCAAGTAGGACAGTCTCGAAACCATCTCTCTTACAAAGACACTACAGCCATCTCCGGTGGCAGTCAATTATTGCATGCTTTCCCTGTTCTTTTTGTGCTTCTTCGGATGGGCACGAGTTCATCAAGAACAGCATGAATGTTATTTTCTCATTGAGCTGCAAAGGAATCAACCCGTCGATGCAGGACTTAGACACGCTGATGATGACCGGATATTCTAATGGAATGCATCATGGTCCAGTTGTTTCCAGTCCCTGGAAAAGCGACAGGGCTGTGTAGCGACCAATGCAAGAATAGGTGATGGAAAGGTGGGATTTCGATAACAAAATGGGGACAGGGGGAAGGCATTTATCGGCCCAGGAAAGCTTAGACCATTATAGAGACAACTACAGGGTGAGGGCAAGAGTGTTATGGGAGAGTCATTTGGTGGATAGAGCAGGCCAGGACAATGGAAAGGCAATGCCCACTACAAAAGCTCTGAAAGTTTGCTTTTGTTAGCACTTGTTGATGCTGTCATCTCCAGCGACACGTATTGTAATTTTTTTACCTTTGGTTGCTTTTCAAAAGTCAGTTTTTACTGAAACACTAGATCCATTGACCTATTTGCCCCACGTGGCAACGTACTTTTTAATTGGCTCTGTTGGGTGGTGAAGGGTCATACTGAAACATGTAAGTATCTAGACGATGATCTAACCCACAATAAAATAATTAATAATCATGTTGGTCGTGAAAGCCTACTTACGAAATTAGTTTGTGATTAATATTTTTCAGGGATTACACGCGTGTTCAAATGAAGCGTCTGAACCAGATTTGACAACTTAATTACACATTGTTATCGATAGCGCTAAATGAAAAAAATAAGAATCGGTTTTATCATTTCTGACAAGAAAAGTTGTGTTAAAATGTTCAATCACCAAACAGAAACTTTTTGCAAGGAATCATGTCTGCATCAACTACACGTACGTGTGGTGAACATGTAAACACACGTTCTCTGATAATATATACATTGTTTTTTAAACTGCTTAACTTAAAACTTAAATAATGATGGTTGTGTCAAAGTGACTGTGTTCAACCAAGCACGGGATAGTCGTAACCATCTACAATGTTGGCTCTAAGCAATTGGTTGAAATTCACCATTACTATAACAGAGGCTAGCATCCCAAAAAGTGTGATGCTCATTCTATAAAGGGATAATAAGCTGAGGCAACTCCCAAACGGGACGTTAACCACACAGGTCTTCTAGTTGTGATGTCTTCTGCATTGCACTTAAGTACTTCTTGTTGCTTTCAGTTCTCTGGAGATGTAAGAATATGTAAAACTAGCAGTAACATGTGGAACGTCTGTTGTAAACCTGTGGAGATTTGCAGTACTGTATAAGAAGGATGTACACATTCTCGATCCAGATCTTTGTCGTTCTGATGCTGGAGCGCCAGATATATGTCAAGCTGTTGAATATATGTGCCAATTGAGGCCACCTAAAGTAATTGTTCTGTCCATTATGGGCACCCTCTGGCACTGCATGGCAGAAAGCACAGAGGTGGAATTTATAGCCTGATTGAGAGACTTGGCCACGTTACCAGGGGGAGGCAGGGCCAGCTATTTCATAAGATGCAGGTTCAAGCTGAGCTTAATAAGTTTATGTTAATCCATCCAATTTGCAGTCATTGAGACATAATACTTGTGAGTAATGAATGTTGTTTCTGGTGTAGACTACACGAGTGTTTAGTTAATGCCATGTAATGATTTTAAAGAAGCAGTCCACAATGCATGTGTTAAACGTGCTTCAATGTGAGACCTATTCAGGTGTAAGCCCAACCAATTCATTTGGTTACAGACCGAGAGATATTGTGAGTCACTCTTGAAAATAGCCACCTCAATCATTCTTGATGATACAACCAACGCTGCCTGGTCAAGGATGAGGAAGTGTACCTTGTGGCAAGCCCGTGTTGTGTTGGGGAGGCTGACCCCCGGCTCCTCGCTCAGGTGGGATCCACTGCTCCCCTCTTCCGTGTCCTGGGGAGGGTTACTGCACACCGACTCCCCCCCCCCCTTCGCTGCGGCCCCTCGGGGCATGATTCGTGGCTGGTGCTTAGCCACCTGGGATCAATACACACAATCTCCGCGCGCACTGACTCACTCACACCCTCTCACCCGAAATCCGACGTCGCTCTTCTCCCGTGCCACATACCAATCGCACGCGCGGGACTCGGGGTCGGGGGTCAGAGGGCAAGGACGTCACTTGCACATGCGCAGCCGATTGGGGGGTTGTCTCGGAGATTTATTTAAAGGGCTGTATGAACAAACTCACAGGTACGCCGCCCGTTCACCCCACGCACACGCTAAACAAAAGGCCGCACAAATAATCTCGCGTGTACGCTGCCCGTTAGCCTCACGCACACATTAAACGAAAGGGCGTATGAGTAATCTCACGTGCCCCTGTACGAGTCCGCCGCCACTCAACACACCCACACGCTAACCACAAGCTACATGCATGGGCGAGCGCAAACACGTGGGTAAATACACCCTCACGCACAAACACAGGGTACAACGACACACACCAACATGCATCCGTTCCACCCTCGCAGAAACCACACGACAAGGTTTATTGATCCCCAGCAGTTTATTCTCAGCGAGTCCAAGGCTAAATTTCCCGAGTCAGTTTGAGTCAGCAGGGCAGGTCTAACCTATCTCCCGATGGTCTAAGACCCGATCTGTATAGACTCTTTCAAATCACTCTCATAAGACGATCTCCCAATGGCCTCAATATCTCACTCTCGGGTACTCACGGTTCGACTCGTACGGAGCTGCTGGGTCGGATCCTCGCTGCACTTCGACTCGTCACACGGATGTTCGAGTGGCTGGGAAGTCGACGGCCCCGAGCCTGGCTTGAGTACAATCCGAACTCATCTTTCCCCACCTTCTCTACCCTTTTTATTGCCCTCTGCATCAAAGATAAATCGGGGCTGATCCGCTGGCCTCCCATCCAATCAGGTGGCTCGGATTATCCAGCCACTCTCCCCGGACCAGTGCTCTCTCAGACGTCCGCTTTTCACCCTCTAAACAAGTGCATCTGTCCTACCAATCAGAGGACCGGCCCTGTTTTTCCCGCCGTTTGTGACTCCGTCCCCCCCCCTACCTGCCTGCTGACCCGTGTGTGTTGTGGGTGTTTTCTATCCACGGTGGCTCAGCAGCCCCGTCGTGACCATGTAATTACAACCCAAGTCACGGCGCCGCAGTGCGAGTTAGCCTCGGGGGAGGTCGCCCAATTCCCCGGTCGCAGGTGAAAACCTGTCGGCCAGGTGACCTCCCCTCGGGGCTCTATGTGGGGGTTTGTGTGTGTTCATGTGGGGGGTGGTGAAGGAAGAGCAGCGTCGGCCCTATCGCTTGGAGGTGCCCGCGTTGCGGCCACGGCGTCGTCAGGACGGCTTCGCTGCTGCGGCATCACAGTTGCAGGCACGTCTCCGACCGAGCGGCATCGCTGCTGTGGCACCACAGTTGCAATTCTTGGTGGTGATTTTTCAGTGTTAACTGTTTATGTGACAAAGGGATGAAGTATGGGTAGCCTCTACCTAGGCGTTTACCACTATTTGATGTAGCAGCATCGTGACTATGCATTTGAAGTGACATCGCGGACATCACGTATGTAGCGACATCGTGTATATTGCTGTGTAATGCCGGCTGTAGCGAGGTACGGCGTGTGATGCATTGTCATCGTGGACACCCCGTTGGTGGGTGTAGTACCAGCCCTAGGGGTGGGCTCGGTGAGCACTGGGATAGCGCATTGGCACCACGCGTGGCGTGCAGTGCTGACTCCTACAGGAGGGAGTGTTGGAGTGTCAGCCATGGGATAAGGTTACCCTAGGCCATGGCATTTTGGTTCACCCTGGAAGGCACGTGACCAGTAAGATCTACACAAGGACCCAGGAGGGGGGCTTGGGTGTGGTCATGTGTCAGGGTAGATCCTAGGGGAAGGGTCGAGAAAGAGCAAGAGGTTTCTTGAAGGTGGTCGTGGCCAAGGACGGGGCCAGCCACGACCCAGCAGCATATAAACCGGGATCTGCACAGGGACAGGGGTACAGCGTTGCTGCCATCATCTGAAGATCTACGATCTCCGTTCTGCATACAAGAAGAAGTCATCAACACGTGGACTCCAGCTAAGGTCATGTCCGTTGTAGCCACTCCCAGTAACAAGCGTAGTAGGCCTGTTGATACACCACCATAGGTTATGTGGTGAAGGGATGTAACCCGTTTGTGTTATGTGTTGGTGTTAATAAATATGTGTTTCCTCCAAGAAGTACGTCTGCGACTCAGTTGAATCCATTACACATTTAATGAGTGAGTTCAATGTTCAATTAGCTAACGACTAATATTTTTATATGTAACAGTTAAAAATATCAGCTCGAGTTCTGACTGTCTATGAGCCAGGGTCTACAGTAATCCCCTGCCAACCGCGAGTGTTTGGTTCCTGAAAGCCCTCGCGGTTGGTAAAGTGCAGGTGCCTGTGGGAAATAGGGGGTTAGGGGAACGAACCATGGCCCCGGTCAGACTCGTCATAGCTTCGCTAAGTAGCCTGTTTATCCACTAAACACCGAATGGAATACATTACATTACACAATGGAATAATTAAAAATTAGATTAACTTACATACCTTTAATATTAACGGTTTAGATGACGATGACAATGAGATGATGGGGGAAGGCATGGTTAAGAGGAGGAAGGGGGGTGGGGCTAAGCCCACCCTCTAAGAACTCCAGCCTCGTATATGCAAAGTTCTCGATAAGAAATTAGCCAAACAACACAAGCAGCATCTAACTGAAAGGAAGCTTGAGGCTCACGAATGATTTCCTGTAAAACATACGTCGCAAGTGTATTTATCTTTTGTGTTAAATTGTCAGATTATTGTATTGCCTAAGAGTTGAATCCCAGATCGCAATTTCAAATCACGAACATTACCACCCCCACCCCCCCCTATGCAGTATATCTCAAGGTTCCAGTGCAAAGGAGAGTTTTAGATTACTACGAAGTGATTGCAGAAAAAATGCGATGTTTAAAAGCCACACAGATTAGATACAATTTGTTTGAGTCTTTGCCTTTATTTGTCTTTTTCATTTGCGATATTTTCAATCTCTTTGAAAATAAAATATTAAATGTTGTCCTATATTGACGAATTGGCAGTGCATCAATAATACTTCTAGATTAGATGTTCAACTTTTGGTGGAAAATACCAAGTTCACGTTCAGTTATTCTTAATTTCAGCTGCCGTTCTTGTAATAACAAAATGTGTACCACTCGAGCTATGACAGATTGAAAACTAATTTGTCAAAGAATCTGCCGAATACAGAGGCTCCAAAATATGGTACCGCTTAAAAGATGTCAACAATAATTCACGTTAACATTTTCTACCAACCGACACCCAGTGCACAGGAGTGAGTTGATCCGTGTTTTACAACTCTTGCAGCATTCTGAACACATTGTAGCCACTCCCCTTTAAATTGATCTTGTTTTAGATACCAGGGGTCGGCTCAGCCCATCATCCTTTCTGGGTTTGTTATATATGCAACACTTTGTGTACAGTCAACAGTTAAACTCCCAAGGAGAGACTGGCTCCCCCATGGCAGCAATGTGGTGAGAGGCCATGGGCGGATGTGGGGATATTCACAAGCCCCCTGCTGGGTGCTATTCAGTTGGAGTTTGTACCATTGGATGAGAGGGTAGCCTCATTGAGACATCGGGTCTCAAAAAGGAAAACTCTGACTGATGTCTGTGCTCATGAACGAAACAGCAGTTCAGAGTATTCGGCCTTCTTGGAGATGGAGGATGCAGTGCTCGATACGGTGCTGCCTACCGACTCCATAGTCTTAATGGGCGACTTCCATGTTCACGTGGGAAACAATGGAAATACCTGAAGAGTCGCGATTGGGAGGAATACCCCCCTGATCTGAACCCGAACGGTGAAATATTATTGGAATTCTACATTAGTCATAGAATGTCAATAACAAACACCATTTTTGAACACAACGATGCTCATAAGTATACTTGGTACGAGAGCACCTTGGGCCTAACGTCAATAATTGACATTGCTGCATCATAGGACCTAAGGGCATATGTTATGGACACTCAGGTAAAGAGAAGGGCGGAGCTGTCAAATGATCACCACCCGTGGTAAGTTGGATCCGACACTTGGGGCACCGACCAGATAAATGTGGAAGGCCCAAACAAATAGTGCAGGTATTCTGGGAACGTCTGGTGGAAGACACAATGCAAAATGATTTAAAATTTGACCTCCAGGAAAACTTCTTCTACACTCCAGGAGGAGGCTGCGTTCCCTGCGCTGCGAGATCGCGTTTCCCTGCCGTCCTTACTGGACACTGATGCAAGTGACATGGGCTTAGAAGCTGTCCTGTCCTAGGTGAAGAACGGGGTGGAAAGGGTGATCGCATACGGGAGTCGCATCCTGTCAACCACCGAGCAGTGGTACCGTGTCACCCGTAGGGAACTGTTGGCCATGGTGTACTTCGTCCAACAGTACAGGCCTTATCTCTATGGCAGAGAGTCTGTAGTATTCATGGACCACGTGGCACCCGAGTTCTCTCTGAGAGTGGACCAGCCTCCCGGCCAGCTCTCACGCTAGTTGGAAATACTCCAGGAGTACTTCTTTCGAGTGGTTCACCGCAGGGGTGTGGGGCACTGCTATGCCGATGCATCATCCCGCTTGCCGCTGAAGAGATGCTGCGCATGCTCGTCGAGCGAGGGCCAGTGTAAACAGCCTAGGGCTGGGCCACCGGGGTCAAAGTGGCTTTCAGTGACCCACCACCAGCCGTGGTGGTCACACATAGAGATGACACGTTGGGGTTCACGCATGCCGAATGAGGCCAGCTACAGATGGAGGTTGTCTCCCTGTTGAACATGTGGTGCTGGACAGAAACTGACCACGAGAACCCTGGGCCTAAGGGAGTCTCGCAGTTCGTCCTTCAGGAAGGTCTGCTGATGAGGTGGCAGGAGGCATCGCACCGTCTGTGTGTTGTTGTCCCCACCTCCCTACGAGGTAGATTAACGCGGGCAGTGCATGAAAATAAGTTGATGCCTAAATAATAACTAAAGAAAACTCTACAGTTCAAGTTGTCCGAGTCATTACACTTATCATAAACTTCACTAGTATCACATGACGTTATGATCCCTCTATAAATTCTAACCAGCCTAAGGTCTCGTGATATCATGATCTTCATTCGGTCCCTCGTCATCTCGTGACATCATCACCCTGCCTTCTCACACCATCACCCCATCCTGGCGTGACATTAATACGCCTCTCAACACTCCTGCATTTTTGAAGCCATCAACCCCTTCACCTCACCCAAAACTCGCATGATGTCATCCCGATGCATTAAAGTCAGGCACACACCTGAAAAAGCGTATTATTTTATAGATTACTCAAATGTGATTCTATATTTTAGTGACATCTTTATGTGTCCTAGCAATACAGATGAACGCCAAAATAATAATCTGAGAATCCTGTAATTATGTGTATGGTTAATGTGGTATAACTTCCACCAGTCAATTCAACAAACCAGGTACTTTAATTGTTCTCCAAATTGCATTTACACCAAGCCAAAATCGCATCGCCCTGAATCAGCTGTCGTCCCACAATAACACATGATGTTCCATTCCCTACTAAACTATGACAACGGATGAAATTTAACTCATGCTGCCTCGGCCTCATCCTAATATTTCAGATTCAATCAATAGCTTCTCAAGTGATATAAATGGCACTTTATGATCCAGTATGCATGCTGGTTTTATTGCCACTTTCTTTCGTCACAAAATACAAAGATAACTACTTAACATCCGGTATTCATGCAAAATGGAGTCAGTCTTTTTGAGAGTGGTCACATGAGCAGCATTTACTATCATAGGTGATGACATGTATAGCAATGTGACCACACAAACTCACTGCATTGAACCACATGCCCAGTCCAATATTAAAACTAAATACCCATAGCAAGATACTATAATTCTAAGGTTAGTTGTAGCATTGATGTAAAGAGCATATAGCTTTACTCCTGTGGCTGCCTGAATGCAGCAATTGTGGCATTGGCTCCGCTGTTGACGCGCTGCTCTCCATCGGCGAGCTTTGGGGCTTCACGGTACACGCTCATGACCTGTGGGAGAAACAGAGAATGGGTGGTGTTTAAACGTCAGTACCTACAGACAAACAAATATGGTAGCAATCATACCTGGCCAATACCAGCCTGATTCCTTATGCCAATCCCACCTTTGCATTGTGATCGATCAAAATAAAGTTGTCATCATCACACCTTGCCATCGCTTCTCCTATTGCAGTTAATACCTGGACCCCCAAGTTTTACGATGATCTTGCACCAACTTCGTTTACAATTTTCCTTTTGATTGCAAACCACTGGAGCCCACTTTCAATGCCTGTCTTTGTAACATACCATTATTATCAATCTAATTAGGAGATTGCAAGCCAATTGAGATTTACATTGATATTTACAACATTGACAATTATATTGACATTTACAAAAGTTATAGCAATAATTACATTGACAATTACATGATTTTGACCCTAATATTTGGAATAGAACTTCGATTATCTGCTTTCTGTGATGACCCAATCTTTTGAGTTGTAAGGTATGTCACATTTATAGACTTGGCTAATAAGTCTCAGCTATTGAATAATATTTTAACATAGACCCATATAGCAGATGTGCTCCACGTGGATGCAGTTGTTAATCACATATGCATGTCCCCTGAGATGTCCAAATTGTTTTTCCATTAGCAGTAGCGTGGAAACATATGTACTCTCCACATCACCGCAAAATGGTTGGAACTCTACTGCATATTGTTAATGGCAATGATATTTCTACAGTATTAAATATTAATAGTGATAGTCTTATGATGTTAATAACTTGGTCAGTGGCAACCTAAACACTCACGTTGCTGATCCAGCTGTTGTAGGCTGACACACGGGTGAACACGGTGGGCTTGCGAATCGTGTTGCAGCCCAGAGATGAGACGTAGCTGGAGATTCCCTGCACCACCCAGGCATTGTCCGATCGCTGGCAGTTCAGTGGGCCACCTCCATCACCCTGTGGTGCATAGCAGAGTACAGCAATGCCTCACGTTGACATTGGATCAAGAAGAATTGGATTACCGGAGTGGGTGGCTGTGATAGCAAATACCACCATGCCTCTCACCAACTTGTGTGTCTTTGCTAGCATGTTTTTGGCTTTGTAAGAGTGTGGGCATCGAGCTCCTGTTCTAAAGTTTTGAGGTCCTGTAGTAGCAAGTGTCTGTGTGAGCAAACACTCGTCAAGTGTGCTTCAGAGCCATGGTGCTAAGTCATGGAGAGATATCGCAGAATGCCAAGGCCTGATCCCTTCCGTCCCCCAATTTTACTATACTGCCTTTGGGTTTTCTATGCACGTGGCACGATCTAGGAGGGCCAACGTGACTAGCGACAGTCAACGATTGCCATGTTGGCTACAGTATTAGTTTATCTACCATCTTTTATTCATGTCATCGTCTTAATATCTGGATTTTATTTTTAGTAACTCTATTAATGTATGTGAATAAAGCCGTCAAAAGTGGAATCTACTATTGGTTTAAAAAAAAACTGCAACAAATTTATCAATAATGAGGTCTTCAAAAAAACGTATACAGGTAGAGTTATTGAAAAATGTGTGGAGTTTTTGTCATTCATGCTTATGCACCACTACCAACACAGCATCGCCCAATAACTGGGTTAATAAATGTTGATGCGGAGGGTGCATAGTAAATATTTTAAAAATGCAAGTAAAGAAAACTACCGCTATGGCCTTCCTCAAATTTTCCCATTGGAAATTTTACTTAAGGAATTGACACGGGTTGGCTCGCGTTGCACTCCGTACGCACATAGCACGCAGAGCGGGTGCTGCCCCCCGCGCAGATCACGCTGCTCCTCAGGCTGCTCCCCCACCAGCTGGCCTGGCTGCACGTCGCGTAGTCCACCACGGGCAGGCTGGCCTGCTGCAGCTCGCTGGGGAAGGGGCCGCTGGCTGTTCACGCACACAGACAACGTGGAGATGGAGAGCGTTGGTGAAAGCATCGGATTTTGGTGGGGTTAACAGGCGCTCCCCTATCGAACCGTCCATCTCTCTGTACTAAAAAGGGAAAAGCCACATTGCAACACCGCCACCCGACTGGCAGACTACTGCCCACTGTTGACTCTATGCAGAGTTGTGTTAATTTTGTCAACCCCAGAAAGATTAAGAGCCGAGTCAAACTGGAGGGGCAATTCACACGTTGGACTTAAAGCGCTCCACATAACTCTCTCTGCTGTTGTATTTAATTGACAGTGAGTGAACGTTACTTACTGGAAAGGGATCCCCAGCCTGTAACGTAGCACGGGTAGTTGTTGGGCAGTATCTGGTTGGCGCTGGGCAGGCAGGCGAGGCGCACCTTGCTGGAAAGAGCCACGGGCGACGCAATCTTGAACATGGCGATGTCGTACCTGTGGGGGATTGAGACAGGGGCAGCCGTGATGTGACGCTCAACTCCGAACATACAACAAGCATTGGGGATTCAGCGCTGTGCACAGGTGAACTCCCACTAACCCGGGTGATGTGGGGGATATATATCATGGGGTAATCCATGATTTGACACTGCACTTATTTGTGGGGACAGATTAATGAATAATGGGAAGAATAGGACCACGGGTAATAAGACGTATTGTGGACAATACAGCTTCTGCAGATAATGGAACAATGGGTAATAGGGTCAAATGCATGAGGTCTACAGTATATTTTAGTTATTGTATTATCGTAAGCATTGTATGAGATGAAGAAATTGCATTGTGTCTCATCTGTCTGTATCTTTAAAAAAACACAGAATGGGCATGGGTTGGAAGCAGTGCGTAAGCACAAATCAAGACATCTCATCGTCTTGTCATTAACACTGCCATATAACACTAAATGTTACTTCTGAAAAATAATTCATCATTGCCTGACATTCCAATTATACTTTGTCTTGCTTTAAGGCAGTTTAAGTGATGAGCTTCGAGAATGGGAAAATAAATGTCTGTCTCTTTGCGTCTTTGTAGAATGTCTCTGTACATGTTTGTATATATGGATATGTATCTGTCTATTTCAACTCGGAATGTCACAGTGTCACGGAAACATGGCGCCCGTGTGCAGTCTCACCCATTGGCCGGGATGCTGGGATTCCAGTAGCTATGCCAGGCGATCAGGCTCAATGCAGGTGTGACTTGCCCCGACTCGGTTGTGGACAGACTGTGCTTTCCCAGCACCACCCTGTAGCTGTATCCACTCCTGCACATTGTGGTGGATGTGGGGAGATAACAGAGAGACGGGCGGTCGTAATCACTTACACCTGTAAACATTGCAGTGAGGAATTAATAAACAGTAATGATGCGAGTTACTGCATGGTAACTAATGCCACATTGCGGCATCGTGTAAAGGTAATTGATAGAGGCCGCCTCCTTGCTCCCAGGATACACTGCTCCAACTTTGGTGGCCACAACGTGGTACAGGAAAATACTGTATAGTACCTGGGCCCCGGTGCAGTTGCACCGCCTGCACACATGAAAGCGACGCCACTGGTGCCGTGACTCACGTGTAGCAGCTCGCAGAGGTAAGCACCCATTGACTATCAATGAGGGTTCCTCCACAGTAGTTGACCCATCTTCCTCCAGAGTACCTCTGCACGAGCGCCTGCAATGCACACCCAGAAAAGTGATGGTAGTTACGGTTATTTGTCCAATTTATATATCTTACAATACAGTACTAACTCAGCCCTTTCGTCAATATACTCTCCGTTTGACCAGGCCTCACAATGCTAGTCATAGCTGGTTGTGAACGGATAGAATCCGGGACTGGTATGGATTTCATTCCCCACTAATAATTAGCAGTCGCTGGGAATGTAAACCATGTAGCATGGTTGGTCGTGCGGTGCATAAACCACTGCGCTTCCACTCTCCCATTATAGTCACTGATCCAATGATATTGATAATAGTGGAAGATCTGAACATTTCATGTTGCACACATGCAGCCGTTGTGTCAGTGCACTGCTGGATGATGTCCTCCACGTGGCATTTAGAACAATGGATACTGCTGCACTGTGATCGACTGGCAATGCAGCGTGTGGCTGTGATGGCTGCTATTCAGCTTCTGCCGTTACCTGCCAAGGCCAGGAGTTGGCGCGAGCCTCCACGCCGTTCACCACGCGGATCTGGGAATACGCTGCGATACCACAACTCTGAGCAGACACCTCAGCTGTGAGAAACAAAAGGAGACGCGAAACAAAAACAAATATCCCCCGTATAGCTTTAACGAACTGTTGGGGCAAGTGCAGTTAATGAGCACCTATGAAGGCCGGTTGCGGCACACGAAAGGGTGGGTAGATAGTACCATGCCCAGCCGCATTTGTTTTTCGAGTGGCGATGTTCACACATCGTAGCAGGTACTCATTTGAGGTTGAGTCGACCTAGGCGAGGCCCAAGACCGACTCAGATAATCGTCACTGGTGTTGGTCGTGAGCGGTCGTTGAACTCGGGTGGCCGGGTTCGTAGCACAGGACGCTAACCGCTAAACTACCTCGCCCATGGGAATACATACCATAGTACACACACAATGATAGTGATGTGTTTTTGGGTTGTACCTTATGCATGTTGTGTCATGTTTTAATCCATGTACTAGCAAACTTTTCTATAACTAAGTACAGTTCCTGAAGAAGCTAGAGTGATCACTCCACTAAAACAAATGTGTGCATGGCAATCACTCACCTCCAACCAGCAGAGCAGCGCAGACGAGAAAGGCGAGCATGGCTGATCGAAGAACTGGAGTTTATTGAAGACTTGGAGCTTCTTGTGCACGAGTCTTTCCTTTCCACTACCGTGTCTCACTGCTGGGCCGTCTTGGTTTTTATATTGAATCTACTGTCCACATGAACCCTCAGATTGCAATCAGAATACTTCCCTATCTGAAAAACTGCCCACATCAAGCTGGCATGCAAATTACAAATTCAGATTTTTGTTTCTCTTGGCCAGCAGGAAGTGATACAGTGTTAATCCTGCTGATGATACCAAACCAACTTTAAGGACAGATTTTTGTATCGGTTAGGTTATAATGGAATACGTGGAGCTGACCGATGGTTGACAGATTTGGTCACTCCCAAAAATGAGCTCCTCAGGCAGGCAAGGCTGCGTTGGCTGGATTATGGAGCCCACATGCCCATCAACTGCATGCCCAAGCAGCTTCTGCTTGACCGGATAGAGGAGGCTAAAAGAGCAGGGCATGGGTAGAAACATTATGGACTAATACTGTATAGGAGGATGTGGAGCTGATCAGACGAGCCGATGACTGTGGAGGAGGCTCGGGAAGGACATAACTAGAGAGTTGGAGGCAGTTGCCCTCCAACAACAATGGAGGTCAGAGGAGCGTTGCCCAAAACAACGAGTCGAGCGCCAGTTGGACAGTGATGCGGCATTGTGAGCATTTGTATTTTGCTGCTCTACGTGTTGAGTGTGTTACATTATTATACAAAAACATACACACACAAAACATACACGGTAAATAAATCGTTCTCATAGTCGATGCATTCACACCTTCCAACCGATGTAACACTGCGGGCATTACTTTTCAACACGGACATGATAATATTAGCAGCGTCAAACCGCATAATGTATTGTTGAAACATCACCCCCGTGTTTTGTAGAACAGACCTAAGTTTGTAAATCGTGTGTAAACGAAACACGCATTCGACTAACACGCGTTGGGCAAGGTTTTCCTCTATTTAGTATTTTTTCCCGGGCTTGCAAAGCTACGTGTTGGAAAAGTTCCATATGTATACCAGAAGTGGTATCATTCTTGAAAAACTACCATCAATCTTAAGAAATTCACAGTCGCTATCAGATCGTGCAAAACTCAAAATCCTGGTTGGTGGCTGACTGAGCTCATTTTCTCCTATCTGGTTGATAAAATGAGTACCACTAGACTGGTAGATTCATCAAGTGACTGGTGAGGGGGATTTACAGGACCGTGTGGAGAAGCGTTCACCAATTGAGGTCAACATTGCCAGACACTTGTTTAAGCAGGGAGACACTTTGGCTTGGCATCCAGAGGTCGTTGACCCACGGATAGACCTAAAACCTAATGCCAGATGGTGGTGATGATAATAAAAATGTTAAATTGGACTTTGACGGTTATGTGTAGAGTCAGCTGTGTGACATTTCTGTGATCTAGCAGAAGGTAGCAAGCAATTTTGCGCTGCGGTGGCATTAACGGGATTGACCGCAATCATCTCTTGCGTGGCGTAGTCATAAATGGCCAAATTATAGGGAGACAAAAGTGGCCAGGTGTGTACGCGTTTCTATCCATACCCCACTCTCGTGTGCCGTCCCGGCCTCAGCAAGTAGTCAATGACAGTACTTTTCAAAGTCTCTCCGGAAATATTACAAGGAAGTTATTTTGTCTATACATAGGAATGTTTGATATGAATCAGCTAATTTCTGCACTCTAGCAGGTATTGATGTGATAGAGTTTTCTAAAAGTCATCACCCATCATGACTTTCAAAAATGTTTCCCCATTGTCCTCAGGAAACTTGGTTCATTTGAGGCCACATCCTCTAACCCCTCACTGGCACTCATAATAACCTCTTTGTCCTAGTCTAGAATATTCAATTTCCTTTGTTAACATTTGCTTCCTTGACTCTAACCTATTTCACATAACGGTAGTAGTCTGACCAGTTTAATGCTCAGCATCAGAATCTCTATATATTCTGGAGAAATACAATTATCTATGAAGCTCTTTTTCATAGATTTGCAGTATAGGTGGGTCAGAAAGTTACAACAACAAACAATACAAACAAAGATAGGAGTGCAAATAATAAGAAAGGTAAGTAAATCACGAAAATTGTATACGTAAAATACGTAAAGTTTTACCTCAAAGTTGCACAAGTACACCAGTTCCCAAACTTGGACAAGGCAGCAAAACAACAGCTTAATCAGTCCCAGAAAAGACCAAAACAACAGATGGTCCCTCAATAAAATTTCCCATTAAATTGAACTATTGATACATATGTAAGCATGAAAGTTACAAATCACATTTGTAATCGCAAACGATGGTTGTATAATGAGATACATGAAGGATGCATGGGTGGCATTGTAGAAAGAAAGTCGCTGGCCTACTGTATCCGTCCAATTTATGCAGTGTTATCCCCTTTTAAGTGTGAAGTTTTTTTTCCGAGTACTCCAGCCTCCTCCTATTTGCAAACATTCTCTAAAAGAAATTTGCCAAACAACCCAAGCAACATGCAACTGAAAGAGCGTTGAGGATCACGAATGCTAGTCTGGCTAAATTATTTATTACAACGTTGATTTACTGTTAAATATCATACATCGCAAGTGTATGTTTTTATCTTTTGTGTTGAAATGGAAAGTTATTGTATTGCCTATTAGTTGAATAGCAGATCGCAAGTTCAAATATTGGTCATTACCCCCCACCCCAATGATTACAAACTGATTGCACACCAAATGCGATGTTTAAAAAACAATACAAACTAGAAACAATTTTGATTGAGTCTTTGCTCTTGTTTTGTCTCTTCATCTGCGATATTATCAATTTCTCTGAAAATAAAATATTAAATGTCCTATGTTGCCGAATTGTGAGTGCATTGATAATATATGTGAACGAGAATTTGATGTTTTGCATCAAAGTTGAACATCTTACCTATGTAAGATGTTCAACTTTGATGCAAAACATCAAATTCCCGTTCAGTTATTCTCAATTTCAGCTGCCGTTTTAATAACAAAATGTATACCAATAGAACTTACATAATTACAGATTGTAATACAATTGATCAATAATTCCTGCAAATACAGAGGCTACAAAATGTGTTACCGCTTAAAAGATACCAACAATGTTTCACGTTCACATTTTCTACCAACTGCCACCAAGTGCAAAGGACTGAGTTGATCCATGGTTTACAACTTCTGCAGCATCTTGAACACATTGTAGCCACTCCCATTGTTTTTTTATTTGTTTTAAAGACCAGGAGTCGGCTCAGCCCATTATCCTTTCTGGGTTTATTAAATTTGCAACACTTTATGTACAGTCATCAGTTGATGTACTCAGGAGAGTCTGGCTCCCCACGGCAGCAATCCGGGATCGGGACTGCCAAAAAAGAGCACTGCCCAACTGTTTATAACTTGATTTCGATTTTTTATATTTTTTTCCCTGCATACATTTCTGCAGGCCGCTATTACACATTTATTATGAATGTAGTCTATTGGAGATTCTTGTTAAATGTCAGATGGTGTTTGGTGCCTTGTTTTAATATGTGAAGAGCTGACCGTTTCTCCACTTCCTACCCCTTTACATCTTCCGGCATCTGGCCAAGCGAAAATACGTCATCCAAGTGAATGCATGCAAATTACTTGGAAAACATAGATGGGACATTATAAACAAGATAGGGCAGCCTGGAACCTGAGCGTGTGCAACACAAGCAGAGCAGATAGTGGTATCTGTAGTGAAGTCGCAAATCAGGTGATCCAGAAACAGTGGTTCCGTTTGTGCAGATTTGCATGTGTGTGGAAATGTCCCTTTTTTAAATGTTTAGTACTAAGCAATGGCATGGAAACCCAAGACATTTTAGAGGTGAGGACATGTGTCGTTTTGTTTATAGCTACATTGGAAAAAAATACATTTGGTGGAATTAATATGTAATTACAGCCCTTCGTCAATCGAGTGAAGGCTTCCCTGTGAAGTATCAGTCGTAGTGAGATTATATTCGCTATTTTTAGTCAGTGCACTTTGGAGAAGCAGAGGGGTCCAAGACTGGTTCACACTGCACTCTCCGCTGATGTTAGCAGTGGCTGAGAATCAAACTCAGTTCCACTGGGTCCATAGTGCAATGCGCTAACCACTGCTAATATTCTAACTGTGAGCGCGGTCCTCTGTCCAACGTGCTATTATCGAATTGAAATGTACACGAGAGCATTGTTTAGTGAGTGACGCATTACACTGGTACTCAGATCATAGGTGAAAATTAGAAGAACAGTCATCTTTTGCTTTCTATTCTCTGGAAATGTAAGCATATGTAAAGCTAGCAGTAACATGTGGAACTTTTGTGGTAAACCTGTGGAGCTTTGCAGTACTGTATAAGAATGATGTACACGTTCTCGATCCAGATCTGTGTCGTCGTTCTGATGCTGGAGCGCCAGATATATCTGTCAAGTTGTTTCATATACGAATGTCAAGTGAGGCCACCTTAAAGTAATTGTTCTGGTCATTATGTGCATTCTCTGGCACTTAATGACAGAATGCACAGGGGTGGAATTGATAGCCTAGTTGGGAGACTTGGCCACATAACCAGGGAGAGGCAGGGCCAGTTATTTCATAAGATACAGTCTCCATGCTGAGCTCCGTATTGTTATGTTAATCCATCATATTTGCAGCCCTTGAGAAACCATACTTGTGAGTAATCAATATTGTTTTTGGTGTAGACTACACGAGTGTATTGTTAATGCAACTTAATGAGTTTAAAGAAGTAGTGAACACTGCATGTATTCAATGTGCTCCGATATGAGACCTATTCAGGTGTAAGCCCAACCAATTCATTTGGTTTCAGACTGAGAGATACTGTGAGTCACTCTTGAAAATAGGCGCCCTGAATAATTCTTGAAGATACATCCAACGCTGCCTGGGGCAAGGATGATGAAGTGTACCGTGTGGTAATCCCGTGTTGCCATGCTTCGTCGGTGATCTTTCAGTCTGTACTGTTTATGTAACGCAGGGATGAAGTATGGCTAGCCTCTACTTAGGCATTTACCACTACTTGATGTCGCAGCATAGTGGCTGTGCATGTAACGTGGGAGTTCAATGGTCAATTAACTAACGACTTTATGTTTCGATGTAACAGTTTTACCCTGAGATAGGTCCGTCTCCACCCCGTTGGGAAGACGGCCACGCTCATTAAAAGTATCAAGTTCAAAAGATCAGCCAGAGTTCTGACTATGCTTATGAGCCAGGGTCTAAAGTAATCCCCTGCCAACCGCGATGGCTAGGTTCCTTAAAGCCCTGGCGGTTGGTAAAGTACAGGGGCCTGTGGGAAATAGGAGCTTAGGGGAACCATAGCCGCTGTCAGACTCACCATAGCTTAACTAAGCTGCCTGTTTATTCACTAAACACCGAATAAAATACAGTACATTACACAATAGCACAATAAAAAGATTAGATTAACTTTACATACCTTTAATATTAACGGTTTAGATGATGATGACAATGAGTTGATGTGGTGAGGTTGGTTAGAAGAAGAAATTAAGGGGGGGGGGCTCAGCCCCCCTCTGGGCCACGGACGCAACACTCTCACCATCACCACTCGCTGGACGTTTCAGCTCCATGATTACGGGCAAAATTAATGTGTACTCTACAGTATGTTCGACAAAAAAGACGGGCAGCACATCAAATTGTATTAATTTGGCGGTCAAAATAATTTAAATTCTACTTTGGGTGCAAATAAAAGTGTGTGCATTGAAGAGCTTGTTTTTTTCCTAAATAATTTACAGCTCAAGAACCAAGGCAGTGAACCACGTCCTCGCTGTTGTGACTCCACACCTCAGCGTTGCCAACTCCTTAACATGAGTACGTCGACAAACTAACCTGAACAGTTCAAAGCTGCAAATGACGAGAAACTGTACACCACAGAAACAGTAATGCCGGCTGGAAATAACGAGTTCAACTCTGACAATCATCATCTCCTGCAGGAGTTCACCTCTGAGTCATCGCTCGGTGATGCTGGATGTGATTACCAGCGAAAACGTCGAATTAAAAATTGTCAGATGTTGTGCGTTGCTCTTCAGCATTCCGGTGTGTTGTGTTGCGATCAAAACGTCGTGATTTGTTTCATTTTATCTCTACCCGCGTGACTTTACCGAAAGAACCAAAGAGTCAGGATTCCTGCAGTGACGAAAGCTTCAAATTGATATTCATTCCGGTGTCCTTAAGCAATCAACATCTGTGTTTGTAATCAACGCGATATGACCAAAACTAAATCAATATTAACGAATAAATTGTTTTTTTTGTGTCTTGAAATCACTTCCGCGTGGCAATTTAGCCACAGCCGTTTATCTGTGTCGCCCTCTGTCGGGCGACATTCTAACAGGAGGCAATGAGACTGAAGCTTGCGCCGCGTTTTAACAGCCGTTGCCCACGGTTCCCACTCGTCAGGCTGCCGTTGTGAGACTCAGATGTTGATAGTGAACCCCGAGAACATTAAAGAAAATAAGCAAAAATAAGAAAAAAACTACGACGTTTAGATCACAACTCAAGCGATCGTCATCAGGAGGAAAAAAGAGTGGAAAGAGGAGAATATTATCACATGCAAAACGTGTATTGAGATTGCTGGAAGGCATGTGGAGGCTTTGAAGCAAAGTGGTACAGTACTGTGGTGCCCATCTCGCCACAGTGATCGAGGTAGTTAACATCTCGCCACAGTGGCGAGATGTTAACTACCTCGCCCGGTATACAGGAGGTCTTGGGTTCGATATAGATCCTGACGCTTGTATATTTGGAGTTTGCATGCTCTCCCCGTGGTCGCGTGGATTTTTCTCCATGGGGTTAAAGTATTTGGCTGTTATAGCTTTCCACATAAGCAACTTCGCTGAGGTATCATTTGTGGCCGGTTCACTTGTGAAAAATAGATATATAGCTCAGTGTGCTTTACATGGTAAAATAAAATAAAGTTCATAGTTAACATTAGTCATTATCTCATATAGTAACACAGTGACTGCTTGTGCTATGCAAGCAAAGGTGCCACAATATTTTATTTGAGGGGTCTGTGATATTTCGTAGAAAAATCTGGACAACGTAATATTGTGCAAAAACACCAGGGCGATGCCTCGCTCACTTTGGAATCTGTTAAGAGACAAACACCCTCCTTATTTGTTTATTGACAATATATTGGTTCACATAAACAAACGTGCCTCCGGCATGTGCTCTTCATCTCACAAATAGTAAAATATGCTAGTCAGTAGATGTATTGCCAATGACATGACAGCATTCTTCTGTTAATCCAAGAGTCAACATACATATTATGCACAAAGTTGTCATTGTCCATGCATGATTTAAGTTATGTATTCGTTCATGTTCTGTTGCTTTTGTTTTATGGTTCTCGAGCAGGGGTGGGGAACGTTCGGCCCGCGGGCCGTATAAGGCCAGCTAAATCATTTTGTCTGGTCCTGCCAAGGCAACCGCAGGCGGGACTTGAAATTCAATAAATCTAGGAGCAAACGTGGAAAAGCAGTTGCGAGTAGCAACATCATCAATACCAGCTAACATCACACGCCTCACCAAAGAGAAGCAGTTTCAGCCGTCACATTTGGGGTGAGATAATTTAATGTTCGACCAAATATGACAGTAAAATTCTTGAGTAGATAATTTTGTATGGCCCGCGAATGATGTTATAAATATCCAAATGGCCCTTGGCAGAAAAAAGGGTCCCCACCCCTGTTCTAGACGCTGCCAGGCTTGTTCTCTCATGTTCCAGACGTGCCTGTGCTACGTCAGGGGTTTAAGCCGGCCTTGAAGTGGAGGCTCTTGTCATCTTGCTTTCCAGACGTCCGGCACTTTTCAGGAACGCATCTTCTGCGTTAAGCGAGGACTTACTTTTCGGACTTGTGTACAGTTTGAGTACACAAGTCCGATTTTTTCTTGAATAATGCTAACAGTCCTTTTGTCAACCCACTGTCTGGCTGGCCATGCTTCACCATGCTAGTCAGTGTTATTGGTGCTCAGTGTCGGTTTGAATATCACTCGCCAGTGATGTTTGCTATGGCCGGGAATTAAACTCAGGTCACGGGGTTCATAGCGCAGTGCGGTAACCACTGCGACTCCGCTCCCCACCAGTATCATGACACTTGCAACCACAAACAAGCCAGCACGGCAAAGTGTGGTTTAAAAAAACCCTCAATGACTGCCATGGCGTGGAGAGGCCCTCATCCAGCAGCATATTAACGAAGGGCTGTTTAAATACTTTATATCAAACGAATCTCTTCACATATGCAAATTAACTAGGAACCTTCATTTCCTTGTGTGATCACAAGGTATTTGTGATATAATCACCGGATTTATCTTTGCTGATGTTTCTGCCTATGCGCAAGTTTAATGCTGCATCATCTAGTTCCTAAACACTGCGTGCTCAAACCTTTCACATGACTGACACCGCATGAGGAGGCCTGCATCCAGTGATAGACATAAAGCTGAAATAAATGTGTAGGATCGATTTGTACTTTAGCCTTTTGGCTATATGTGGTCTAAAACTGGTTAGACAAGGCCATACAGAAGAATATCTCTGGTGTAGGCCCATCAGTTTCAAACACAATGCATATATTATCAGAGCATATTTTGCCACAAATACGTGTGGTTAATACAGCCTTGATACCTTGCAATAGGTGTATATTTGGTGTTTGAACATCTCAATACCTATTACTGCCAAAAGTTTAAAACCAATTCTTGTTTCATCGCTGAAATAATTATAACTGATCACAAAGCAGGTGATATTGCCTTAATGTGTTACATGAACTTTAATAATAATCCACTTTACCTTCGGAAGCCTCACTGAGTCTCAACACTCGTTTTCAGGAGGGTCTTGCTAAAATTGGGGTGTTTGGTCAATTCCCATAGTGGGTGGCTATTTGTGGGAGGAAACGGGAGAACCTGGAGAGAACCATCCACGCCTGTGGGACAGCCATTGGGGAAGATCTGTTCAAACGTGGCGCAAACTCACGGTATTATCGTCACATTGTGCGGGAAGCCTCCTCTTCGTAGTCACCCCCCCCCCCCCCCCCCCGAGGGCATCACGAACCAGCTTTAGTGTGCAAATAAAATAACGTGAGTGGATAAAGCAGGATATTAGGATACACCCCCCCCCCCTGCATTATGTAACTTTTGACCTACCTCTCCTGGACATTTGTGGAAAAAGCTCCGTAGGTCATTGGATTTCTCCAGGATACATACAGATTCTGATTCTGCATCATGTAAACTTCCGATTTAAAGCTTTCGTGACTGCAATGATTCTGATTCTCACGACGTTTCGGCCACAACACAAGCGGCCTTCATCAGGTGAAGGGGCGAGACTGTCTGG